TGATCGTGGCGGACGCAGTCAAAGGCTCGTGACAGGTCAATTGAGACTGCCAGGTAGGTTTGAATGCCTGGTGTGCCTGAGAAGTTATGTGGGTGAGTGAAGCTTTGGCTGCGGGATGAGTGATCTGTCGGCTGCCGCCAATCATATGAGGCGGAAGTACTGACTGACGTCAAGTGTACGCGCGTTTGAATCAGAGAGCCGATCGATGCCGTTTGAAAAGCCGATGTGAGTCAATTAATCACGCAGCTACAAGATATGACAGCCAAGGGCAGGATGACTCACGCGCAGTTGAACTAGGCGGCAGACTCCTACACTATCACTTAAAACTGATTCACGTAACTGCCGCAGCACTCTGTAGAGCAACCAGCGGACACTGACGTTCGAACTATGGTCTCATCGCGGTGCTGAGAATCCCAACGATTGTTCAGTTGGAGTATCTTCCACCTATCAGACCTGACTGAAGGTTAAAGTATAGTTGTTCCCCTTTATCCTTGTGTTTTCCCATACTGTCACGTAACAACAGGCGAACAGTTGACAATCGGTCAGCCTATTAGAACGGTGAACGCCACTACCAAGTGACTTTCAGTCTTTCCGATTCCAGCCACTGAAGCTTTATACCCGAGTGGAAAAGTAGATCCGAACTCAAGCCCTTCCTGTTTGAAATTTTGCTGTGACTGACCGCTGAGGCTTTCCCTTAACTTTACTGGCTAAGCTTTGGTTTAATGGGTATCTAAATCGTCTGTCTGAATTTGTCCGCGCCCTTGAGTCCGACGAAACACCAGGTGTTCCTATAGCAGTGGCTTAAGTTAATAGGAAGACCCTGTCGCCGATATCGTCAATCCCGATTTCGTGTGGGGAAAGAGGAAGTGGGAAGCCAGATGGGAGAACTAGTATATTATGTACAGAGGTAGTGGAGAATAGGTTAGAGGAAGTCGGCAGCCGGACGAGCGTTCGTCCGTAGCCGCGACGGTTGGTTGGTTGGTTAGTAGACCTTGTCAGATTAGGAGTCCGCGACGGTCGGCGTCCGAAGTGTGAGAGCACGGAAGTCATCACAGCGCCTCCAGCGAGGTCAGTAGTGAGTCAGTCTTAGGGGTATGATTGGCCAGACCGGATTTGGGTTGGCAGACACTGGTGCGTACGTACTAGAAATCGCGAGAGGTTGAGCGTTGCAATCGAAGTTGAGCCAACGAATGCGAAACATGAGGGCGAGGCATTGATGGCACGCTTAGTTGCAGGCTCAGACACCAGCCACCCGTCGTAGGAGCCGTATTGTCAGTGACACGAACGCAAAAAGCGAATTCTCTAGTTTTGTATGGTATAGAGGAAGTGTGGAAGATGAACTTACCTGCTAGAAAGGAAAACGAGTGGAAAGTAGACTGTTCTTAAATAGTAGTAGTCTTTTTGGCAGATCTGAATAATTTAGTTGACCCACTTTTGAA